ATATATATCAGTTGCTCCCTCTAGAGAGCTAGAAAACCAAAAGCAATTTGAACACAAAACAAAAGAGAGAGAGTTTAAGAGACAAGAAAGATAATGTGAAAATAACTCAATACACAATACCAAAGAATCATTTAAAACGCAGAGAAGCTATAGTTACTTGTGAAAACCACCAGCATCTGTTGTCTTCTGACGTTTCTCAACACCTAGTGGGCAGTCCCGACTCACAATAATTATGGTCCTTAAGGCAAAAAAAAAAAATTGGACAATTTTTAATTAAAATTTTTTTTTGAGATTTTTTAAATTTTAATTTAAACTTTGGGCCTTCTTAAGAAAAATTAAAATATGTTATAAAACTTTTTAAAATTATATGGACCTTTTTTAAGTTAAATTAATAGTTTTTAAAAAATTTTAGGCCACTTTACTAAGAATTTCAGACCTATTTAACATATTCTAAAAATTTTGAACTCTTCTCTTATGTAATTTTTTTTAAAAATTCATGGTTCCCTAGGCTGTGGCCCCTTTGCCCACCCTATTTGGGCCGGGCCTGCTAGTGGGGAGCTTCCCTCCAAAGGACAATCACAATCGGCATCCGAATAAAAAACTTTGATAGGGAACTTGCCATCAAACAGCTCTATCCAACGCCATATCAATTCTAAAATTTCAAACAGCTCTATCCAACGCCATATCAACTTTGATAGGGAAATTGCCATCAAACTTTGATAGGGAACTTGCCATTGTGCTAGTGGGAAGTCATCATGCATTGCTAAGAAAACATGGTAACCTCTTCCTGCCAGTTGTTTAAGAACACGTTCAAAATCCGTGTTTGCCTCTGGAATGTCTTTGCAACTAGGAGAAAAATCGTTTCACGGGCATTAGTATCTTATTGAGTCTCGAACGTTTGTCAACCCTTTCGTGTACGAGCGGGATCTTTGCCATGGCAAAGTCCCTCTTCTCTTCCGGAGTTTTGTCGCCAATATAAGCATAGATTGACAGTGCACCAACATAACCCTCCATCGCAAGAACTCGTTTGATTTCACTATGAAAAGAACACAAATCGCGACCCTAGCCCCTGTGAACGCCATATTAAACAACTACAGTATTACACAATCGATAGCGATCAATTTGGAGCTAAAGATATAGAAATCTTACACGAGTAGGACAGAGCTTTTTCTGTGACCATGCTTTTGTTAGGTGAGCCCATTAGAGAGGGGAACAAGGAGACGAGGAGGAGGCAAGAACGATACCTTTTTGTGAAGATGAAACCGTGCTGACCAAGCTATGACTAAGCAAAGACAAAACTCTATACTACACTCAAGATCTAACCAAGGTTGGAGTAGACTAAACCAGGGTCAGATATCCTTTTGGGACCACAAACAGAAGAAACGGATACATTGCCAACAGTGAAGTTTTGCTAGTTGTCTTCTAGTGATTACAAAAGAAGAAGGGAGTTTTGTTCAGAAGCGTCAGAGCTGAGCTGGTTTGCCTGTCAGTGACTATGCAGGCTGCTTTAGATCTGAACACAAGGTATCATAAAAGGGAACGTTTGTAACGCCCGTGTTCTAGAAAATAATAGGAGACTTGATTGTGTATAAGAATTAGGGTGGAGTCGGTTTAATTCCGATTGATTTCCTAAACTGGTCGATTTGTCAATTGAATCAAATGAGGTTTAATTAATGTCGGTTTAGGTAAATCATGGTTTAATCAGATTAAACCAAAAACCCTAACTTTTATAAGGTGCGCTTCTTCTCTCTTTTGTTTTGTCGCTTTTGTTTCTGAGAGTTGAGTTGAGAAAAGGAGAAGGAGAAGTTTACTTGTGAAAAGGAGAGTGTTAGCTTTGCTTTGGTGTTTAAGGCTAGAGAAGCAGATTCGTCACGTCTTGGTAGAATAGAGTTCCGACGTATCAAATCTTATCAATAGGTTCTGTACGTTGATTCTCCGTTTTACAGAAGTGAATTCGGATTAATACTCAGTGAGTTATATGCAGTTTGGTGAGACGCGTTTTCTCTGTTGCGAACTGGGATCAGCGGAGTTTGTAAGTGCGATCGTGGTTTCATCGTTTCTCCGATCGGCACCAAATTTTGTGGGGAGTTTCGTGACGTCTAGATCTTGCTTTGCACCGTAGGGATTAAGAAGTTAACGGTTAGTTTATGTTTTAGGGCTTCGTTTCGGCGGCTGTAGTTTTTCTGGTGTTTCTGTCTTTTTGGTTCTTAGAGATTTTTGTTTGTGTGATTTGTTGTAGGGCGTTGTTTGGCTGTTGCAGTCGCTAGAAGAGTCTTTCCTGGTTGTTTTTGTAGTTCAAATCACCTTGTTAAGGTGAGTGCGTGACCATGAGTTTATCTAAGCGATTGGGATTGAGTGACTTGTTTGTGATGATTTGTAGGTGAATTGGAAATGTTATTGGATGTTTAGCTTGCTGAATGGTTTGTTTATGTTATATATGTGAGTGTTATCTCATAGCTTGTGTGTATAGCTCGTAGATGGGAGGATCGCTCTCACTGAGTATTTGTGATAATACTCACGCATCTCATTGTGTTTGTGGTGCAGGTAAATTGTGATCCGTGGAATCATGGCGAGGAGAGGAGGATGATCTAGGGTCTCGGTTGTTATGTTTATGAATATGTTAATTGTTGTTGGAACCTGGTTTAGAGGCATGCTAGGTTGCTGGTGTAAATTGTGGTTATTGAATGATTGATTAATTAATATTATGATTAATTGATGTTGGTTTAATATGTTTCCGCTGTGCATGATGATTTATCGTTGGGTTAATTCGGTTAGGTTAATTAGTAGGTATGGGACTATTAATTAATGAATTAAAAAAAAAACGGGTCGGGTCTTTTCAACGTTAAGGAGAGCTTGCTGTGTTAAGGTTGATACAAGAGAGAGAGTAGAGAGAAAACTTGTAATAACATAAACTTGTTCTTGTTTTCTCTTTGGGTTAGGTTCTTACGAAGTGTGCTCTAAGTGCTAGTGAAGAGCATTAGAGTGGATCACTTGTAATTCCTGTGTTTTTGTATTCTCTGTGAGTATCTAGTGGATTCCGAGCACCGACTCGGCCTAGACGTAGCTACCTTTTTGGGGGTGAACTGGGTAACCAAACTTGTGTGTGCTTTGATTTTCATTTACTTCTGCAAATCCTCTGTTTTTCTCAAATCTCTCTTTCTCTCAATTCCGCTTCTCTATTCTTGGTTTGTTGTGGCTCTTCTCACAAGGAAAGTCAACAACTTTGTGGTTAGAAAGCTCAACACTTTTGATCCCAAAACTTAAATACAAGACTCAGTTTTTTTGTTTGCTTAAAACACACAACAATTCGTTTTATTATCCACACACTAGAACCTTCTCTCCGAAACAATGGCTAACTAACTTGGGCCAGCTAATTGACTCTTGTTGTCTTGTTTTTAATGTTTTCCTCAATTGATAGTGAGGTATTCGACAACTAACATTGAAGAAACATTAAGAAACTAAGGCTCTCGTAAAATTTTCCAAGTATGAACAATTGAATGTTGGCAAATTGCACTTGTGTCAGATGCTCATCAAGAAATCTACATCATTTGCAAAAAGAAAAGAAAAGAAAAGGAGAATTTACAACTTGTCTCACAGAAGAAACGTAAACAGGGTATGGAAGATAGACTTATGTAGAATCAATTTCCTCGATGTAGTCGAACTCGATGTCCAAAATAAATAAAACAAGTATATATTTATAAAGTAATGATCAATTTTTTAATTAATGGGGCTAAATACAAAAACAAAATACAAAACAAAGATATGTATACTATACAAATAAATATAACACTAAATTGATGTCATCCGAAGCCACCTCAAACGAGAACACAACCGATTTTAGGCATAAGTGGATTCACCCGAATAATTTGGCCTACGAGAATTAAAGGCTTTTGAAATGTAAGGTTCTAACAGCTACTATTTGACCTAAATCAAAGTTAAACAAATAACAATAAATATTTCATATACTAAATTAATACAATGACAACATTAAAAACAAAAAAATAAACAAAAACAAACAAAAATCAAAATATAAATTTTAAAATATAAAAAACAATTATAAAACTCCCGCGCTCAACACGGGTCAACAACTAGTAATTTATAAAGTAGAGAATGAAGATGAATATTGAATTTCAAATTATTTTTGATATATTAAAACGAAAACAACTGTGTGCGAAATATAAGTTTGGAAAATTCTAATAAAAAATATAGAGACTGCAAAAGATGTGAACGATTGAATTGACATAATTGTTAGTAAACTATATTTTTAAAATGAAAAATGCAAATTTTAAATAAAGACCGTTGATATTATTTTATATAAAAAAAAAGAGAAAATAAAATCATTTCACAACGAGAGTGAATAAGATATCCAACCCCTAGTGAAAATTATTCAGATTAGTAAGACTAAAAATTAATTACAAAAGTGTGCGGCGAAAAGACGCAACTACGAATAAAATTTATTCAGATTGGTGAAAAAAAATATTTTACCAAAAGGTGTGACGAAAATATGCAACCTTTAGTGGCACTTTTTCATATTGCTATTATTATATAAATTAGTCCAATTTTAGTTGCAAAAGTTTTGGACATTTTGTGATTATTTATATTTTTAGTTTTATTTTTACAATTTCTTGATTTTTGTTATAATTTAATTTTAAATGATAATATTAAAAAAAATGTGCGGATTTATATTAGAGATTAATATATCAAAACATAGGGAGTAATAGTATTAAGTCATGGTTTGGATTTCAGATTAATCTTCAATTCCATTAAAATATGATTAATTCATCTGAATTGAGTACTCCTATTATGTGTTAATGATTCTTAGATAAATAAACACAATACTTTGAACTTTGAACTCCAACAATCATCTTCTTCTTTTTGGTGATTTATTTTAACAATCTTGAACTGGTGGTTAGAGGAAGGAACACTTTATATATATGACACTCTTGTTTGTAATGTCTTAATCAATGGATTCGAATATAGTTGAGGTATAAGACAACTAATACCGAACAAACATTAAGAAACTAAGGCTCTCGTAAAATTTTCCAAGTATGAACAATTGAATGTTGGCAAATTGCACTTGTGTCAGATGCTCATCAAGAAATCTACATCATTTGCAAAAAGAGAAAAGAAAAGGAGAATGTACAACTTGTCTCACAGAAGAAACGTAAACAGGGTATGGAAGATAGACTTATGTCGAATCAATTTCCTCGATGTAGTCGAACTCAAGAAGCCTTGATGATTCCCCTTCTGCTTTCCCTTCACACAGAACAAAAGATTTCACATTTCCAGCATTCGTATGAATAGAAAAAACTATTAGTTGAGCCAGCGCGGATTAGAGTATACCTTTGCAGCATCCTTGAGAGGTCCCCAACACTCGATCCGGTTGTATTTAGGTGTGCTTGAATGGAAATAAATCCATACATAAGCATCCATTAGCTCAGGGTTCTCTCTAAACATAACTGAATCTCCATGGACCACAGCTTTAAGTACCTATCTCAACCACAATGCCAAAGATTTAGACTCATCATTCATACTCATTCTCCAATATTTCTTAGAACCAATTGTAAAAGAACAAGTAGAAGAAGACTAACCAAAGGCAGTTCCTTGGAGAAAATGTGATACCTAAGCTCTGCAGCCACATCTTGCAAAAAACTCATACCACTAACACAACAATGAATATGTAACCGTAATTCATCATTCACCTTCTTCCACTCAGCAACCACATCGTCTTTCTTGTACCAGCCTTCTAGTTGATCCAGATTAATGACGTTTGAGATTGTTAACGTTAAGTCAGCAGTGAAATCACAATGCGAAAGTATATATGTTCGCGGCGTAATAATCCCACCGCTACTCTTGCTCTCCAATAACTCTCCTAAGAACTCAACTTTGAGCTTTGATGAATCAAAGTTTGCTTGTGGAACCAATAGCCTCACCGCCTAGTACCACCATTAACACATAATATTCAATAATCAATATAAAGATTCATTCTTTATGAGGTAGCAACAGAAATAGACTCATTCTAGTTTCATTCAACAAAAGATTGATCTTTAAAACCCCCAAAGTTCGATCCTTTACTCAATTTCAAGACTTCAAACACAGAGATTTTAGTTCAATAGTGCTCAAGTTCAAATTTATAGCACAGACCCAGTTCAATTAAGCTCATACACTACACAAAATAACTCTCCCATCGCTACTCTTGTTCTCCAATAACTCTCCTAAGAACTCAACTTTGAGCTTTGATGAATCAAAGTTTGCTTGTGGAACCAAAAGCCTCACTTGTCTAATACCACCATTAACAACATTCACAATAACAAGTAACTCCAACACTTAACATTCAATAAACAGTATAAAGATTCAATCTTTATGAAGTAGCAACAGAGATTGAGCTTTAAAATCCTCAAAGTTCGTTCCTTTACTCAATTTCAAGACTTCAAACACAGAGATTTTGGTTCAATTGGGCTCAAGCTCAAAATTTAACACAGACCCAGTTCAATTAAGCTCATACACTACACAAATCTACAACCTTTACTTAAAATTGAAGTTGGGTTAGAAAGAATTGGTCTTAAAACTTGGCTTACCTCAGAGACTAAGGTATTGTAAGAGGCACCACCGTCACTAATCGCAGAACTACGAGGAACCCTAAATCTTGTCTTCAAGTGGTTACGGCTGAAACGATGGCGATGACTGAGGATTCCTCTATTGGGTTGAGACAGAACAGGATTGTGGTAATGAGGAACGATGTAACAGGCCATGGAGGAACATAACAACAAGGTTAATGCATGAACAACGACAATGATTCTTCTTCACCATTGTTCATCTTTCACCATATTGGTTTGTTCTTGAGAGAAAGAGAGAGAGAGAGAGAGAGATGTGATGTGGAAGAATGTGTTTCAGAGATATACGTAGCCACAAATTCACTCTCTGTGACAAGCTTCGTTCTCCACACAAAGTTCAATTTTTGGATTTTCTCCATTTTTTTTGTTTGGTGATATTATTTAATTATAATGAAATATTGTGATTGGTGAATTGAGCTGAGCGTTTTGCCACGTAGGCAATTTCCTTTGGTTTTCAGATAATGAGTTATGGCTTTTAATATTAATTCAAAAACTAGGGACCAAGTTAATATAAAATGAAGGGAATTTTGTTTGTTCACTCAAATTTGTTTAAGTGCTATTAACCAAAACTTTTTTCAAAACATGCCATAAAGATGGAAGTTTGGACGATTTTGCCCTGCGCATTGTTGAGTGAGCAATTAAAGAGAGCATTAAATGGAAACAAGGTAAGCTAATACCCAAAGGATATTCAATTAGTTGAAGAATTTAAAAATGTAACTAAAAGCAAAAACCAGATATAAGATGTGTTAATAGAGAACAAGTAACCTAGAGATTTTATATGAGTTATCCTTCAAATAAATAAGGTTGGATGTGTAGGGATGTCCACTTGTCTATCGATGTGTGCACTATAGTCGATAGACAATCTATAAAATGATGTCAAAAATGGCGGACGAGTAAGTAATATATGATAGACAAAATATAAAAGTAGATCTGGTCAATCGAAAACTTATTTTGACAGATTCCGAGGGATAACTTCGATGCATGTCCTCTCACGTGTGGTTAGTAGGCTTTTTACTCAGACAAGGTTTGCCTAGGCTTTCTTAAAACGGTGAAGAACAAACAGAAAGAGATGAGTTAGAAGAAGATATTGACAACTGTGTTGATGGCCATGTTTGGTGCAGTAGATCTGGTCCATTGAAATTTACATTGAGGAGTTGTGAGAGACAACTCTTGTTTGGGTATCGAGACCAAGAGTTTGGTCCTCCACCACAGACATTCTATAGAAGGACACAAACAAAGTTTAATATGGTGGACAAAAATATGAAGTAAATTTGGTCCATCGAAAGCTTACTTTGACGGTTCCGAGGGACTTCTCCACTTCGTGTCCTCCGATGCGAGGTGAGTAGGCTATTGTACTCCGGCAATGATTGCATAAGATTTCTTAAACTGGTGAAGGACAAACAAAAATAGATAAGTAGTGAAATATATTGACAACTGTGTTGATGGACATGTTAGGTGTAGTAGATCTGGTCCATCGAAACTTACATTGAAGAAATCTGAGAACAACTTTGTTTGGGTATCGAGCCATGATGATCTCCACCGTGTGGAAGTCCGGAATGTTCATTTTCGTGTTTCCCGTCTTCCATATCATAATTTTGAAGTAGATCGAAAGTAAAACGTGAAGAGAGTAATTTGTGAAAAAAAAATTGTTTGGTTTTTCTCTATTTGGAAAAGTTACGTGTTTGCAGAATATAGGTAGTCAAATCTGGGGAAGAAAACAGTGTAGGAAAAAATTTTTAAGATGTTTATTGTGAAAGGGGCAAAATCGTCATCTTAATGTTAGTTTTAGTTTTGAATGTTATCTGATCATACTCAACATTTCTGGTACGCATCTCAAATGTTTACAATTATGTTAACCAAGAACTTTTTGACCTCTCTTATTAACATGTATTCACCATTTTCTTTTGTAGGTTATGTATGGCTTTTCTTGCTTTCTCTTGTATTCGATATGTGCCTGTTCATTGGATATTTTCAGTGATATGTTTAATTTACGTTGTGATAATGTGGATTTGCATTATTGTGCTAGGATCAACCCCTATTACGTTTATTTTCGAATCATTTATATTTGTAATGGTTATATGTTTTAGTTTAACGGGTTGAAAACGCTTGTAATCCTTTTTTCCATCATGAATAACAAAGTTGTGTTTTTAAGTAAAGGGTTTCGTGCAAATAAACCATCAAGATCATTGATTTTTGCAATTGTATCTTACATTTCCAAAAATGTAAACCAGTCATACTAAGCCAAACATAATAAGTAATACAATTCATATATACATATATTATCTAAACGTGGGGAAAATCGCTAAAATCGACCAAGACTATTTGTTGGCGGCTTTTTTATACCCAAACTATGATAATCGGTAAATAGCAATCTAAACTTACTAAAAATTCAATTTCCAACATAAACTATATAAAACTAGCCAAAATCAGCATCTGCAGAAACGGTGTTAGTTAACTGCTTAACGACGATGATTCAGCCGACACCGTGACAATGATGAAGCCTTAGAGTTGGATAATTTGACGTCGTTTTGTGAGTTCATAGTTCTCGAATCAAAGAATCGCTAAAGCATACACTTATTAAATCTTTGATTCGAGAAAAATGGTTTACACTACATTTTTTTTTTCAAAAATGTGTGAGATGGTGTTGAAAAAGCTGTTGAATCCGGTTGAATTCAGTTTTATGCAAATGGTGTTGCGTACTTGTTTAATCTAGCTGAATATGGTAGCTTTTTTAAAAAAAAAATAAACCATTTACAGCCATATTTTAGAGTCAATTATTCAATAATTCTTTGGTTGTTAAAGATAACAATTGGCTAATGGGTTAGTCTGGTATAGACTTGGTTTAAAAATTACTCCCTCCGTTCTACAATAGATGATTTTTTTTAGCATAAACACACAAATTAATAAATCATTAATTTTTGATAAATTTTAGATTAGTTCACAATTCGTTTTGTCTAACCTAAATCATGTGTGGTCATCACAATATCATTTGATTCAGAACCATTAACTGGTTAATTGACACCGTGTAAGTTATTGTAGAACTCGGCTACATAGTTCATGTATTTAATTTTTATTTTATTTTAGGTTGATAAATTTTTGATATTATCGTGTAGATATAAAACAAAAGTATTTAGCGAATGGCGACTAATTCAATTATCAACTCGTTAAATATTCGTAAAACACGATTTAGCGATTAATTTTGTAGTAGTCAAATGCATGCTTTCTATATATCAAACAAAATTACCATGTTGAATTTTACTGTATGTACAATCTGTTCAGTGCCGGCTCAACAGGGAGGGCCAGCAGTGCACAGCCCAGGGACCCCACCATAGAAAGGGGTCTACAGTTTTTTTCTTTTTTGTAAAACTTAAAAAAAGAATATTAGTTATATATATGTTGAAAAAAAATAAAATTTCATATTACAAGAAAAGGGGCCCATAAAACTGTTATAATATTAGAAAATGGCCCATAACCGTATTTCTTTAGCAAAAATGGCTCAATAATATGATTTTATTATATATTGATGTAAAAAATCAAATTTATACAAGCTAATATAACAAAAAAAACCTATAATTTACATATTGCCAAAAAAAAAGTTTATAATTTTGTAATATGTTTATATATTATCAAAATTATAATTTATATTTTTGAAATATATAGGGTGAAATTTTGTTTTTGTGCTTTTGAACATAATTTTTTTTTTTCCCAAGTACCCCTAAATTCCTTAAGCCGGCGCTGAGTCTGTTTCCTAATTTTGTTTTGGTGCGTCACTCAACCCCTTCTAGGAACTGTACCTGTTTACACTATCTCAAACTTCTTTATTCATTGCAAAAAGAAAAGATTACAAGTTTTTTCAACCCTTAAGACCATGTTTATCGGTTGTCGTCCTTCACCATATTTTTTTTATTTTTTATTTTTTATTTTTTTACTTTTACGTTTTCTTCAAAAAAAAAAAAAAAAAAAAAAAACCAATAGCAGGCCGCCACGTGTCGGTGAGGCCCGCGATTAGTGCGCAGGACCGTCCCGTTTTTGTTGCCGTCACACCATTTTTTTTTTTTTTCTTTTTTTTTTCATTAAAAATGATAAGGGACTTTGCCAACTTACGCCAATAAACATGCCCTAACAATTCAAGAATATTTATCAAGAATCTCTATAGCGACCTTAGCAATTAAAACAAGGACAATATATAAGAATTATTACGTAAACTGCTTTAAAGCAAAAATAAAGTATTTGGTAAATAAACATAATAGGGGTCGTGCTTAGCACAGCAGCGCAAATCCATATTATCACCACGAAACCTAACCAAACCAGTGAAAATATTGCATTGACTCGTCCTACATATGAATGCAAGTGAAAGCCACAAAACCCATACTTAACCTGCAAAAGAACAATACTAGTTAATTATACTTTTTTTTTGGAACATTTTTATAATGTTTTTGTGCATATAAAATCTCTCTAAGTTTCCACTTTTACAATTTTACAGTCTAAACTAAAAAAATGCTAATCAATCTTGCAACAAAAAAAAAAATCGCTGTATATAACCAGTTTACGCTACTATCATGTTTATAAATTTTTTAGCAATTATATATCAAATCTAAGTCTGAATTTCAAATCTATTTTGAAAATTTTAAAAAATAAAGGTATGTGCCGTTAAAACGTACGTATAAGTATTGCTTATTAATTTTTGATTTAGTATGATTGTTTTGCAGTTTTTGGATATTGAGGATAAAGTTGCAGAAACCGACGATTTAAAGAATTTATTTGCAGAAACCCGTATGATAAACTTTTCTTCGATGGATATATATATATATATACGTACCAGAAATGTTGAGTATGATCATATAGAGATGATACACTGCTAGAATAAATCCATATTAGTAGCACAAACCAACCCACCAAGAAATATACAAGGATCTTCTTCAAAGTGCTCATGTCGTCCTCGTCGACACTGCAAACCATTTAAACCATTATTAGTTTCTATTACCTTGAGAAATCACATAAGGAGAAATGAATGTGTACATACCTTGAGAAATCACAGACTATAAGATCATTAAGTAGAATGAAAACACAACCACATGTGTAACCAATGATCCATACAAGAAACATTGTTTCTGGATGTTCATCTTTTGCTTGAGTCATGACAAATATGGCTGCAAGAACTTGTACCAAGTTGAGAAGAAACTCGAGAATAGACCAAACACTTGATCCTGTGCATGGGTTACAGTTACACCGTTCAACATTCTCAGCCTCATGTGGTCGTGATGAGGAATCCTCATTGACTGTAATGCTGATTTTGTGTTCATCATTTGATGAAGAATCACTATCAATTTTGGTTAACAAAGGATCCATTGATAACTTTTTGTTTCTTCTATATCTCCAATAAAATTTACATATATAAATTTGCATTGACATACACAGACTTTAACTATTCTTTTGTGCTAAATTATTATTTTAAGACCAACTATATATATAAAAAAGGACCAAGTCTACGTAAATGATATAGTTGTTTATAATCATTATTAAAGAATTGTTTGGTAATTAATATTATCCTAAGACCAATAATAATGATACACCAAGACCAGTTCAAAGAAAATTAATGATAGTTGTGTTTTTTTTTTTTTTTTTTTAACAGCTGATTATCATTAAGAACTTGTAAGATTATCCTCATGGAGGATGTTTACAATGAAAGCAGGAATGTAAAAATAAGTCATAAAAGGTATAGTATCTGTTGGCTCCTTTGCTAAACGATCCGCTGCTTTATTGTTGTGTCTTTTAGTCCATTTGAACTCCACTTCTTCAAAACGTTTACTCCAGTATTTGATTTCTCGAATCCAGTTATGCATCCCAAAATGCATTGTCTTGCCTTCTAGAAGATTGTGAACTAACTTGTTGTCGCCTTCAAAGATGACATGTTTGTAGCCTTTGATCCATGTTTGTTGCATTGCTATGAGAAGACTTTGAAGTTCAGCCTCTAAAACTGATGAACAAACATTACCCGAACTATAACCTGCAGTGTGAATAAAACCTTTGAAATCCCGTGTGATCCACCCTGAAGTTGCGTTACCGTTATGAGATGTAAAAGAACAATCGTAGTTGCATTTTATAAAACCATTGCGAGGTCGAGACCATTCTGAAGTTTGTTGTTGAATTCCTCTGGCTATTGAACACGAAACTCTCTCTGGCCAAACCGATATCCAATCTTGTGTCTCTAGAACTGCTTTGGACAAGTCAGATTGCCATGTCGAAACTTTATTTTGGAAAATAAGAAGGTTCCTACTCTTCCAAAGAGTCCATAACAACCAAATAGGGACATTGCGATCAAGGTATATATTTAATAAAGTCATGTTCTCATTTAACTATATATGAAAAAACTAATTATTTTGTTTATCATGACTATTTGTTCGTTGTATAGTTTGTTGTACTCATTAATTGGTCGAATAATAATTTTAAATAATAATTTTAATATAATTTTAAATATATTATAGAAGCTCATCATCTCTATATGCTAATACTCAACATTTCTGGTATGTATCCAACATAATTTTATGATTAATTATGATCCATAAACACAATTTCAACTCTCTAAGAACATTTTTTTTGTCTTTTTTGCAGGTTTCTTACTTATAGTTGCATTCGATATGTGCCTCCGAACTTAATATGTTTAGCATTTTATTTAATTACCATTCTGATTATATGGATTTGCACCATCCTCCCCACTGAAGTTTTTTACTTTCTAGTATCTTTAGCCATCCTTGCAATTCTTGTAAACATTAAGAAGGCTCTTCTCTCGCATATGTGAATTCGGAAGGTTGAAAAAGCTTGTAATTGTTCTTGCTATGAATAAAGAAGTTGAGATTATAACTAAATATTTTATTGTTATGAGAACTTGAGTATGTTGAAACTACAAAATGCATGCAAATCAAGTCCCAAAGGGAAAAAAAAATATTTACATCAACCATAGGAATTAAGGTATATACTTGAGATTATATCTTAATCAAAATAACAAAGTTTCTTCGAGATTACTTCAAGAGAAAAGCATTGACGTGTCAAATTTGTGGCTCAATACAAAATATTTTTTGTTATAGATTTTATAGATAAAATTTAAAAGTTGAGACCAAATCTTAAAGGTTGAAAAAGTGAGACCTATTTTTGAAATAATAAATAGATAAAATTTAAACATGGAAACAAAATCTTAAAATTTAATAAAGATAGAGCCTAATTTTGCGAAACCCAAAGTATTGTTTTGGGTCTATTTTCTTACTAAATTTGTCAAAAATTCTGGAGGCCCAATACGAATGTTTCTCGGAAATAGGCCCAGGGCCATATCCGGAGAAAAGAAGTAGAGAACATCTGAAAACAACTTTGATGAGAAGATGAAGAAGAAGAATCAACCTTCTTGGTAATGATGCTACCATCATCAAGTTTAAACACACTATCATCTCCCTTTTCACTAAAGTAGATAGCATTCTCCAAACATCCATAGTACTCTGAAGCTAAGATAGTAAAACAGCTGTCTATAGTCACAATGATTGCCTTGTCTCCCAAGCAACTGACCTCAACCCATTTTAGCAAATCCTCATCCATCTTATAAACCTTAAAACCAACAGTTCTCTGTACACTATGTACACAAGTTTTCTCCCAGAAACGATGAAGAATGCATAGATCTCCACAATACTCCACGAGTCTCGTTTCTTTGCACTCATTAATGTCCTCGTCGTCGTCGTCTTTCTTTTGAGAGGGCTGCAGTATTGATATATGGTGAGCTCAGATACACTAATCCACCATAGCCCTCCATTTAAGTCTATGGCATAGATATTTCTTCTGTGAAGTTTAATATCCAAGAAACCTTTAACCGTTTTAGTGTTTATTCTTGTCCAAGATCCACTTTCTTCTCCGCTCTTGCAACACCAAAGCATGTTTTCGTAGTCAACTACGAAAAACATATTGTCTAGGAAAACAACTCTATTCGAATACGACTCATCTTTTACATTCTTGGACAAGTATTGAACGTTGTAAGATTCGCAAACCTTTGAAACCCCGAATTTCAAAAGGTCTAGGGTTTTGTAGGCAGTGTTCATCATGTGCTGGCCAGTCAGAGGAGACAAGAGTTTGTTCTTACTGAACTTAAAGACTTGTCTGTGTCTGATAAGCCATCCTTTGTTAGAACACGATGAAGGAAGAGTTACACGGAAGAAAGTTGTGGGAGAGACTATAGTCTTCTTCTCCTTGAAAACAGGAAGGTCACGTTGAAAGTGGTTCCGGAAACGCTTCTTGGTCGCAACCGCGGAACGCCAAGGTTTACAGATGCTACGGATATGGATTAGGTCAATGTTTGAGGACAAACGATCGGATAAAAACTCAACTAGATCTTTAGGTAAATTACACCACGCAACTTCTTTACCCATCTCTGCGACTCTGTGTTAGTCGTCGAATAATTACATAAGACAACTTAGTATATATATAGATGGAGATATGCATTAATCCAGATTAGTTTAGGTTTAACAAAAGTAAATAATAATGGGATTAATACAGAAAATAACGGTGAAATTTTCTCTTTTGTTCCAATCGAAATACAGTAAAACCTCCATAAATTAATACTTTATAAATTAATAAACACTATAAATTAATAAATTTTGGTAGTCCCAAGTCGGGCCGGTGTAAAAATTGACGAAATTCGATAAGATAATAATTATTCTGACATCTCCATATAAAATATAGTCCAATAATATCATAAATTAATAATCACTCTATATATACATATAAGTAGATATATTAATATATGTTCTTAGTTTTTTTTTGTAAAAATAAATTTTCTCCAAGAGTTAGTATTTTATGTTAGTATTTTTTTAAACAATAATCTTGTAATATATACCATCACAAGTCATAAAAATAACTAAATTTTCTTTATGCTTTCAATTTTTAAATATTCATCATATTATTGACAAAAAAATAAATATGCATCATATTCAATTTTATATAGGATGTTAAAATATAACAATTGAGGTTATTAATATACATTTGAATTTATGTATATCATTTGTGTAAGTGAATTTATCTATAATATCTGTATTTATAGTCAAATTGTTTTTCCCTAAATATAGTATTCACTTTCAAACTACTGTATAATTTTTAAAATTAAAAAAGTTAGTCTTATTTTTGTAAAATTGTATCAATTCATAATTTTTTAAAATTTGAAAAACTATAAATACCACTATAAATTAATAATTATTAATTTACACTATAAAATAATAAATATTAATTATAGATAAATTAATATCACTATAAATTAATAAAATATCTTGGTCCCATCATTATTAATTTATAGAGGTTTTACTGTATATGTATTTCCCTTTTTTTTTTCGTTCAACGTAACTTAACCCCCAAGTTATTTAAGAAAACTCCTTAATAATATTTACAAGTTATATACAAGTGAAAAACGAGTAGCAAAAACTTTATATATTTCTTCCAATCGAAATATATTTTTCACATATTATTTTAGAAAATATGTGATAAATTTTAAAATTAAATTTTGAAAGATTAACATTATCTTTATTTATATATTTTTTTTTTTGATACGAATCTTTTAACTATATTATTTATATCTATATATGTTTATCCTAAAATTTATATAAAATAATGTAAATTGTAACATTAGTCTAATATCATAATTTCTTTTTAACACATTATCCTACGATTGATTTCTTCGTTTCAATAACCTAATACAAAGACGTTTTTGTGTTAAAAAGAAAGAAGAAAAAGCTACTGTTGAGCTGTTTGCATGCAAAGACTCCTAAAATTACTGAACCAAGAACTGAGAAGGCTCCTTGTCTTGAACGACAAAACTCGGCACATGTCAACGGTTTTCGAATTTCAGACAAAACCTTGTCAAACTGTTGGTGGAGGTCGTCGAGATTACCATTATTATCTACTCCTTTTCGAATCCAATGGCATCTGAGCCATCACTCTGTTTCTTGCATCTTCCTCACTCAATCCATCTCTCTCCATCAGTCTCTTAAGTTGTGTTTCTTGACTAACCCACACAACTACAATGGGTTTGGTCCATTTATCCATCTTAGCGCCAATTATCACCTCAGCGCCACTCGCCCATAGTTTCAGGATTTCCCAAATGATACCAGTTGATATGTATGGAGCCATCAGCCTGTAGATTTAAAGACACAAACCACGGTTTCAAGACCTCATACAATATAAAATAAAGAGAAATCTCAACTCCTTAACTTGTTTAGAAGTTGACGCTTGGATTTAGACGAGAACACAATCTGACCGAGCTTTAGCCGATCGACTTCTCCACTAGGGAGAAGAATCTCCTCCCCAAATGCTGCAACTAGTTTTTTCCATCCACCACTTCCTTTTTTCAACACATCCTATGTAGCAAAACAAAACATTCCTCTTTCTCTGAAATGGTCACATTATAGTTTTTAAGACTAGACAAGAGAAATGGTCACATTCCTCCAGAACACTTGTAATATTCTCACTGTGTTTGCCTCAGAAACACCAAAAATGATATCAAAATGCTGCATAAACAAAAACAACAATCAACTAACAGATTCACACACATCTTCAACTCTGTATTACCAATTCTCGCATCCGCCAGTGTTAGTGATCTGAATCTCTGCTCCTCGGTGTCAATAAGTCACGAGCCTTTTTTCCGATGTCGACTTCTTTTCTGTTTGACTTTGCCACTGTTTTGATTTGTAAATTCCCAAGGCCCAGCCAATTGAGTGGGTTACTATTAATAAAAAAGGTCCAATTAAAAAAAAAAAATATATATATATATATACACCCATTAAAAAGTTCAATACTTTATACACAAATCAGACACATTTTTGATCATACTGCCAACAGAACAATCACAAAGAACGGTTCCTGAAATAAGATAGGTGTGTGAACGGTTCCTGTTGCAGAGATACCAATGTGTCAGAAATATAAAAGCTCACATAGTGAAATGCAACAACGAAAGAGATTGAATCCAAAGTAGAATTTTAGAAGAAGACTAAACCAAAATCCGTAAAACCCACTTTCGAGATAGCTCAATTCGTGGCCAGCAATGGCTGACAAAGAAGACTCATATGCAAACAACGGAAATTCAAGAGTTTGTGTTTGTGTTCAGGATCGAACACAATGGAAGACGAAGCAGCAATAGCGGACAATGACCGACGAAGCAACAATGGTGGACGAAGCAGCAATGGGTTTCAATAAGCTTAGGTTTTAATGGCAGTAGTGGAATTGATTTCGGAGTCGAGGGGAAGAAGAAAGATAGATTACGTTTAGTTTTTTTTTGGTAGAACGTCGTCGTTTCATTTCTTACGTGTTGAAAAAAACCTGACAGGTATCCCATAAGCTTACTAGGGCTAACCCATTCAAAACTCTAATATTTCGGGTATCCGTCCACTAAAAACCCGATCTTTTTATTGACAGAAAGATGGGTCTGTTAGCTCTATTATAAAATCGGGTTTCGGGTAATAGATGGGGTTTAACCCATTGTTAACATCCCTAGAGTCTAACATAATTCTTCATTTTAACACATTATGTATTCTCTTATAGTTTCTTTTGTTTAAAGTCAATACATTGTGTTTTATTGTAAAAGGCTATAGTTTAGCTCCGAATAATTTAACATTTGTTTCTTTGTAATAAAAGACAACAATATTGTAAGACCCTGGTTTGATTTGGCTACCTATGTCACCAAAATGCATTTATCTTTTTGGTCAAACGTGAAAGAATTCTAGAGTTAAGCGTGCTTATGTTGGAATAATCAAAGAATGCATGACCTTCTGGGAAGTGGTTACTGGAACTGTATGAGCGAGGCCAAAACACATGAAAAGATCATGTGGTGATTTTTAAGGTCAGTAAACAAGTCTTTAAGTCTCCCGAACGTAGCAAACCGACCGTCGGATACATATGGGCTTACAGACATAGTGAGAAAAAATGAGATCTATTAAATGAGGTGGACCCATGGGTTGAGAATGAACATGGGACTCATTAGACGAGACGGTGGTCGGGAAGTTATAAATATACTTTAGGGTAATACCCTACACTTTATTATGATTTATCGTTATGGAGTTGGTCTTAAGAGTACTTTTTAAATTAAAACCAAAAGTTTAAAGTGTTTGTTCAAGTTTAAAGACAATAAGTTACCACCAAATAATTATTTGATCATTAACTCATCGCAATCTGTACATTAGTATATTTGCAATACATTTATTAAAAAAATCCTCATTTTTGCAAAATTTACAGGTACGGCCATTGTTTGTTAATAGTACTTATCAAAACTTCAAAATCAATTATATGTAAGATTTTAAAAGATAAGAAAATCCATATACCCAATTCAAAAATAAATATATGATTCTCCTTCAATTTAATTTGCTTTGTATTTAAACTATTTTGAATTATTATATATTATATAATATATATAGTTAATAAAATTTTTGATTGTTTGGCATACGCATATCACATATGATGTACTTAAAATATATATTACCAATCGATGAATTAAAAAAAGTGTGTACAATATCCAATATCTCCTGAAAAAATTAGACAACGGTTCAAAGTAATACTGTAAAAGATACTAAAATGAGCCTAAATACGAATGTGTAGGGAGTTTGATTTATCATGCATTCAAATTTTAAAAAGTTTATTTGATTGATTCTGGTTCTCTGTTTTCAAAGAATTTTATAATTTCAAAAGTTTCAAAATATATAAATATTTAAATTCTATAAATATTTAAGCTTTATAAGAAATGACAATCTTATACAATATTATATTGAATGATTACAGTCTTAATAAATATCATACAAACTTAATCTAACTAGAAAAAAATATATTAAAGATTACTGACGTATATTCCACAAATAATCAAATAAAGTTGAGTAATATAATTAAATAAAAATATCTATACAAACAATAAGCCAAGAAAAATATAATAAATAAAGAATATGGCATTTTTGAGATATATTATTTATGTTTCTTTATATAAGTTCATAAAAATTTCATTTTTCTTTTAAAGTAAACGAATTAAAAACATAGCCACACACATAGGAAGAAGAAAAAAACCTAGACATTACTGAAATTTTTGAAAGATGCATGCTTGGTACAAGACAAAACCTAGAAAAACCTCCAAACTAACCTTGAGTTAATGTTAGTGCAGGCTTGATTGTTATTGGAACGACAAAGCTTATTCTTTGTGACGCTAATATCAAACCCTTAAGGATTCATTAATAAGCGAATAGTAGTTTTAAATGCCCCCATAAACCCCAATGATCAAAATGTAGTATGTTATATTATTTGGATATGATGCAATGTATTTTTTTTAATAATAAGTGTTTAATTTTAATAATTATCATAATTTTATGAAACTTTCATATAAAAGGGTTGATTTGCAACTTTTATA